AAAACAAGAAAAACAAACTTTTTTTTTGGGAATTCTGTGCAGAGGGGAAGGAGGAGGAGGAGGAGCAGCAGCAGTCAGCGACAGACAAAAATATGCGATTTTGATTTTAATATTATTAATACACAGCAGCCCCTCAACTCCAAAGGAGGAGGAGGTTGGCTCATCCTGCCCAGCTTGCTGATATCCTACTCCCCCTCCTGCTCCGCCCCTGCTCCTACTCTGAACCCAATCCAAAGGCCACAATTATGCCGAAATTACAAACTTGTTATCTCATTTAAGGCGCCAGCTTGGAGTATTTTTGATTTCCTGCCCTGGATTTGAATTTTCCAAGAGGCCCTTATCAGCCCGCCCTGTTTTTTTTCACCACCCACCCCCTGTTTAGGTCAACACCTGTCGCTGCTGTTAAAAGCAATTCCTGTTTTGTATTTATTTTATTTTTTTTTATTAAATATTGGTAAGAGGGGGGCTTATATTCATTTACTAACTCCTAACTCCTTTACCTACTTACTTGGCCTTAGTACTAGCTTATTTAATATCACAACTTCCCCAAGACCTAATAAATCCCAATCGAAAATGATATTGCAAAAATATCATAAAAACTAAAGCCTTTGATCGCCGAAAAGTAAACAGTGTGGATGCCACATGTGTACTCTATATATATGTGCCACCAAAAAACCACAACCTTTTCGGACGACAAATGTTTTGGCCAAATTGCAACGAATGTCGAACGGAAAAACTGATTGCCAGACACCAAATATTTATATATCTAGGCACTGGGAAAAATAACTTAGAACTTAGTTTTAGTTGCCTAAAAAAACTATAACTACATTTTAAATATTTTTTTAAAAGAGATATAGATATCTTAGTTTAAAGACTTTCTAACTTATTTAACTTATATCTAGAAAACGTTTTCCTATTTTTCCTAGTGTACCTGCCGTTGAGCATTCAGTTGCCACTGGAAAAGATCTTTCTCCTCCTCACAAGAACTGCTAATGAAAAATGGAATCAACGAATCAGCCTGGCCGCTGCATGGTTCAACGGACAATGGTTTTTGGTAGAGAATCGCTTGATTTCCAGACAAATGCATTCACAAAATGACAGCCAAATCCCAAAATGCTGCAGTGCATCATCTAGTTTAAACACAATTTGCTGTGTGTAAACATGGCAGAAGCCTCCTCCTCCTCCAACCGCAGGGAATACGAAGGATGGATGCAACTATACACTGGAAAAAGATAAAAATATTATTAGGTTTGTTCAGAAACTTATTTTAATGGGAAATTTATGAAAGACGTTGAAGGTAACTCATGAGTTCTGCTTAAACAGAATCTGTTTTATGATGGGTATTAGATATATATGGTAACTATATATATTTCTGATCCCCATCAACAAGAAATGGTAATAAACGAACTAAACTTTGATATCTCTTTTTCCAGTGCCTGGGATTTTCCCACTAGCTTTTCCTAGTCCTCCTCCTCAACAAGATCACAAGCCAGTTGCCCACTGGGCATTTCCCAGAAGGATCAGAAGCCTCCCCCCTTGCCTTCCGCCTCACAACCAATTGGAAGTCGCAATAAGTGTTGCAACATTAGGACCTTCATTTGGGAAGCGTGGCAGGCGGGCTGGCAGGCTGCCCTTCAACGGGTAAGAGGCAAAAGGTTGGCCCCCCACGATGACTCGAATATTGCGGACCGATGGCAACAAATGGTGGTCGTTAGGCAACTTGCCTGTGTGTGAGTGTGTGTGTGTGTTGGGCTATTTGTGGGCTGGACCTTATTTACATGCTGGCAACAGATGTGGCCAACCGAGGCGCCTCGCCTGACATTCGACCATCAAAACTCAATTACCGGACTCAGGCCAAGCACTTGCTTCGGGGCTGACTTTATTAAATTTTCGTTTGGCTATTCGGGAATTCCGGGTGTGGGGGTGACGAACCAGGACGGACAGTAAGGGACGCAACCTGGCGGTCAAATTATTGGACAAACTTCTAGCTGAAAATTTGACAAAAATATAAAAAAAGTAAAGCAAAAAGTGAAAGTGAAAGTGAAACTTTTACAGAGATTGATAAAAAAGGTCAAGGCTAAGTGATGAGATTCTAAGCTGAATTCCCTCTCAAAATTGGTTTAAATAACTGAAAAGAATGTCAATTTTCCTAATCTTAATACTTATTATTATTAACATTTTATCTTTCTTACATTCTCTTAATAACTTTTCCCATTTGATTGCCTATGAATTTAGAAAATTGATTGGCCTTGTAATCAACATCAATTTACCTAACGGAAATTGACCACAGGGATTAATCTAAATGTTTTTTGAAAGCTTAAATTCCTCAAAGGCAATGCCATTTAATCGGCTTATCAAAAATCACAAAAACCGCAAAGCGCTTGTCCATTGTAATTAACTGAGAAATACTAAATCTGATTGGAAATTTTTGGTCTCTTTTACTATCTAATTTGGCTTATAAAACAGGCTAATAGTTGCTCCCTTCTGCAGTCCTAAACTGGGTTTATTTAGGTTGTAAGTTTCGGTTTACCAATCTTACAAGTGGTCAGCAATTAGACATCAGACATCAAGGTCACTTGGCTCATACATACCAAAGCTGCATTAATCACTCTCCTGTTTAGTGTTTCCTTCAAGCCAAAGCTGTCTAAGACCACCTACTTCCCTTCATCCTGGGGATTACTGCCAGACTGGGAGCAGGAAAACATTTTGTAAGTGCCTGTGAATGAAAGAATCTTAGAAAAGTACAAGTACTAGGTATATACACTTTGGGAAATTGGAAAAAATTAAGCATTAAATTTACTTCATAAACTGAATTCGTTTTAGTTACTTTTTGTAACACTTAAATTAGGTTAAAAATCATAATTTTAGTTTGAGAAATACCAGAAAATACCTATAACTAACTTCTAGTTCTTGAACTTAAAGCTTTATCAGCAAAACATCAAGCAAAACCTGAAAAAATCCGCCTCTTAGGCATATAACTCATACGCACTGTTGTCTAAACTCACACATTTTTTGGTTAGTCAACTTATTAGTTTAATTTAACATAAATTCCCATTCAACGACCCATTTTCCCACAGTTCTTGTGAATGAAGTAATGTTAGAAAAGTACAAGTACTCAGTATATAAAATTTGGAATATTGGGAAGTAAGTTTGAGAAATATTAGAAAAAACCTTTAAATGTCTAACTAATTAACTTCTAGTTCTTTATTTTAAGCTATATCAGCAAAACATCAAGCAAAACCTGAAAAACCCCCTCTTAGGCATATAACTCATACGCACTTTTGCCTAAACTCACTCACCTTATGGCTAGTCAACTTAATAGTTTTCCCCCATCAACTACCCCTCATTTTCTCACAGTGCATTACTTCTTCCTCTAGTTTCTAGCACAAACTTTCTTCCAGCTGTGGGCAATTAGTGGGAGTCCTTGTGAAAACGATCAAATCAAATGCTGCGTGTCCTTCTCTTCCACCACGCCTCATCGGATTCCCAACTCCCCCTCTCTCTGTCACTACATTTTGTTTTAGCCAATATTCATTGTTGAATTATGCAAACGTGCTAGTCGCAACGCCAATTAGGCCTAATTACTCACGTTCGTTAGGCTTTACAAATGCAAAATTTCAAATTCTCAACACTCCATGCCCCTTCGCCACCCTCGCTGTTTAATTGGCAAACATTTAAGTTTATTTAAATTTTTGGCCATAAAGTGCGTAACATTTGCATTTGACAAATGACAAACATCGAAATGTATCGCAATCTCCAAAGGCATTTCCTTGCCTTGGCTGTTGCCGCCGCCTTGCCACACGTGTGGGCGGTGAGAGAAATTAATTAAATGCCTGCCTTCCTGCCACGGTGTGAACGCCCAAAAATCCAACGATCCAAATCCCAAGTAGTTACCGGACACGGATGCTGCCAATGGCCAGGAAGAGGAGGAAGAGGAGGAGGCGGAGGAGAAGGAACTTGGCGTTGACGGATTTGACTTAAGCTGCGATTTCATTTCGCCAGAGTTGCGTTTTCCTTTTGGTAGCAGTGATGCGAAATCCCATTCCCTTCATTGCATATGCTGTGGTTCCACGTTGGACGCCAATTTTGTTGTTTTGGCTTGTTGGTGCACAGTCAAAGGGGTTGCAGTTGAAGTAGCCAATGTTTCTGTTTAAAAAAAAACAAATTTGGGAATAAATATTACTAAAATCTTTATATGATTTAGTACTTTGTCAACCCATAAAAGTAAGTTAAACGAGCTAAAGATGCTTTCTTGACCATAAATAATCCCTTTTAGTTACAATTTTTGAACCTGACTGATAATTTAACATCATTTTGATTGCAGTATAAAGAAAAAGTTAAGAAATCTTTAAAGTTCTATATACTTTAGTGCTTAATAGTTAACTAAGTCTGTTTAAATTCCCCTCAAAAAGTGAAATTTCCTTAAGAAAAAAGCTAAACCCTCAGCACTGGCAAGCTTCCTTCCAAGCTTTGTTGTCATTCACGTGCCATGTTCCTACCGTATAACCCCTCTGTTTGCCCCTCTTATGAGTAGGTAAAGCAACCCATATCCTTTGTTGCAACTTTCATGAGACGCATTTGCCTTCCTCCATTGGCCTGTTCTTCATCCTTCCTCGCTGCCGAGGCAACTATGCGGTTGCAACATTCTGATGTCTTTGAGCCGCCCGTCCGTCCTGTTCATTCTGCCCAGAGCACAAATTATGCGGATGCACTGAAGCATGTGAGTGAATGGCATCGAGTGTGTGTGTGTGTGTGTGTGGAGGAAGGCAGGCATTCCTGCCCAGGCGGCCATGGTCCTTGCAAAGCAGCTCCTCCCTTTCCTTACCACAGCCAATTTGCACGTCTCGAGTAACCCCAGCAAGCACCCATAATACCAGCTAAGAAGACAGAAGTTTCCAAGTTAATATTTTTTAGAAGGATCCGATAATTTCCCCACAGATACAACCTAGGCAGGCCCTTGATTACACTTCGTTTCTACCTGACAGACAGCCAGAGACAGCCTCAAAATGATGGAAGAACGACGTCTGGCGTATCAGCGCCGTTTATTGGCCATGCGCAGTGCCGCAACATCGCTGCCCTCCAGCCAGGAGAAGGAGTTCAATCTGCGCATTGTGGATCTGTACAAGAACCAGCCATGCCTGTGGAACACTTCCCTGCCAGAGCACAAGGATGTGGATCTGAAGAAGAAGGCCTGGGAGAAGATTGCCAAGGAGTTGGGCAGCCATCTGAATGCTGAGTTCATCCGTTGCCGTGTCCGCGCCATGCGGTATCATTTGAATGTCTACAAACTCCAGATGATCGAGTACGAGATGACCCCCGGTGTGGGCAAAGAACCAGTTAAGCCCTTCTACGTCGATCATTTTACTTTCCTGGAATCGAAGGATACGGTTAAGGAATCTGAGGGCGAGGAAACTTCATCCAAACCTGAAACAAAACCTAATTCAATCTCCGAGAAGTATGCGAAACTTTGGTCTGACTTCAATCTCAAATCCTTGGCCAAAAGGGAAACCACTGCTGCTGGAAACTCTGAGGGTCGTCGCTCGGGTCAGAGCATCTTGGAGATGGTCAAGATGCGCATGGAGGCACAGATTAAGCCCTTGGAGTTCACCATGCCACGCCTGTCGATCACCAAAAAGCAACAAAGCATCCGGAAGAATTATATGCTAGACTCAAGCCCTTCGGTCAGCTCGATGGATGTGCTTTCGGAGACACCACCCTTATTACAGGCCCATCCTGGTGATTCTATATCGAAGACCAAGTTGGTACAGAAGAATAGAGATGGTGAGAAACCTTCTACTTCTAAGATGGCTCAGGCTGAAGAGCAGGACAATCCACAGTCTGAGGATGAGGAGCTGTATAACATGCACTGGAACATCCGCAAGGAGCAGAGATCTCTGCGTCCTGGCATTGATCAGCGACAGAAGACGCCATCGCGTCCAACAAAGAACACTGAATCCACTCCGGATATATTTTAGAAGATATTGGCTTTGGGCTTCAGCAATGTTATTAAATTACTTCTTATTGTGGTTGCGGAAAAAAGGAAAAGGAAGGATTCTTAAACTGAAAATGAAACATATTTTGGAAGTTAGAATATAGCAAAATTGTTCAAATCAAGAGACTGACCTGCAAATACAAACATATTCCTTTCATTCCAAACTTCTATTATCTCTTTGTCCTTATATTGAAGATTACAACCGCGGAGTCCTTGGGTAATCATCTAAACGACATGCTCTTAGCCTATTAAGAGCACCTCCTGAGTCTCAGTCTCAGCCCAAGCCAAATGAGGCGTAAAGATACGCTCCCAAGTCCAGCCATGATTTATGAATAAGCCTGAAATGATGATGAAAAGTCTATATACGGCCAAGAAAAATAGAAAAAGGAAAGGAAAAGAAAAACTTGCAAAACTCTTGCCGCAAATCCAGAAAACCACCATCAAAATTAGTTTTTGGGCTGCCAGAACAAATTACGAAATTGCTACCAGAAATTACACACCCACATACACAGTTTTCAGTCCCGACAACCACCAATTTTCCAGACTCCTCCCTAAACCCAACGAAACCAACCTAACCAACCCACCCAAACCATCTACCAAAATGCTCTGCTCATTAGCGTGAAAATTTAATTTAATTTCCTTCAATAAACCCCTTAAGTGCTTGCCTTATCTTTTCAATCGCTTTTCCCCTCGGCCTTTCCGTTGACTAACTTTTGATTAATTGATTGATTAAATGAGTGACGAATATTGGCAAAAGGAATAAAAAAAAAAGAAACACACAGAACCGCAAAGACCACAGAAGGAAGCATCTCTGGAGGGTGGTCAAAGGTCAAGTGGTTGCCATCATTCCTTCGATACAAGTAATTACTGTTTAGATGACGACCCACTTTTGGTTTAGTTTATATACTATATTTAGTGTCTTCTCTGTCTTGGCTTAATGTTCTTAATGTAATGTTCTTGCAATATCCTTGTCGGCCTACGCAATTTGCTTTGGCATTGTCCTTGAAGTGGAAATGCAAAATGATGTGAAAATATGCAAACTGCGTGCTCGTTGTCGAAAAACTGTGAGCACGTCCGTTCCTGTGCCGACTGTCGACTGCCGCCTGCCGCTTGGTCTGCCCTGTCTTCTTAATATCTCCTTCTATATATATATATTTCGCAGTCCAAAAATTCTATGGCATTATTCCCACTGGTGTTCCTGCATAGGTCATTAGCATTCACAGAGCATTTGTGGATAGTAGGGTGGCCCAGGCCCATGCCCAGGCCCTCCGATTAGCCTTCGTCGTGTCTGCTTTCCTGCTACCCAGCCTGCCTGGCAGACATTGCTATTATGACTTAATTAAAAAATAATATTTTTGCATTTTATTATTTCCGCCTGTTCATGGGAAATACCTAGGGTGTTTCAGGGTGTGTTGGGCTGTTAATGATGTAAAGGAAATGTAAGTTAAAAGATCATTACAAGCTAGAAGTTATATAGAACAGGGAAACTCATTTTCTTATTAATCATAATCGTTACATTTTTGTATGTCTTTGCCTTTGATTTTAGTTTTATTTTATTATTTGTTAAAAATGTTGTTAAGAAGTCTTCTTTGTATTTATTTTAATATAATTTTTGTATGAATTTAAGTGAGTTTTAAGCTTTTTTTTTAAATAAAGAAGTAAAGTATGTAGAAAAGTCTAAGTAGAAGTCTAATTTGTAATCAAAACCAAACTGTCTTTTACACTATGACTATAGGTTAAATTATTAGACTTTTTATACATTTTATAAACGTTTTTATTAAGAAAATAAGTAATATAAACATAAATATGAACATCTATTAAAGAAAAGGCTAGCCTTAACTTAAGTTAGCAAGAACAAACCAAAGTTCAGCTCAAAATGTAACCCCTAATAGGGCCTGTCTCATCTCTATGAGTATATATCTATCTATATCTTTTCATAAATACATGTTTTTATATATATTTCATATAATCTAATATATAAATATGTAACTTCTTTCAAACTAACTATAAAAGTTATAATCTTAAACACAAATCTTGTAACTTCTACTTAACTACCTCCAATTACACATTTTCCCTTCACCAAAAATGTAAATAAAAGTAAAACACCTCCCCTAAACCAACTTCTAGCCCTAAAATAATCATAACATACTATTTGATATACATCAAATATATCCCATATAGGTCATATATCATTCGTATATCGTATATATACCTATATATCTATACATATTATTCCTCCTTTGTGCCTGGCATGTTAATGGCCCCCCAAAAGTGAACAACTGTCGCAGTTATTTGACGAAGAAAAGAGGCCATACGATGAGGCTACCTGTACTATATATATCCTAAGATATATATATAGAGTACATCTACATATACTTATGATAACTGTAGTTGTAGTGTCTGAGGGGGAGTCACTAAACTTGCCGTGTCATCGCCATGTCATTCATTTGCATACCAGAAAAACTTGGCATCGCGCGGTTGGCAAACGCAAATACGCGGGCCGTTTGAAGAGGATGACGAGAACGACGACGACGACGACGATGATGATGATGATGACTATGATGGTGATGTGCCAGAAGAGGAGCACCACGTGGGCACACACATATATGCCAGATGATATTCATGAATACAAATGGAAAATGGCAATGGTAGTGTCCCCCTTTTTGCCTACTTTTTTTTGCCACTTTTGCAACGACTTTAATTGCCACAAAAGTCGTTACATTTTGATTAGCCTTAGCTGGGGCTAAGAAGTAGAAGTAAAAGGAAAGCTTGAAATTACTGCAACGACTTAAGGACCAATCGAGCATTCATCGATAATCAAGAGTCATCATCTGTTGAGTCCTCTTGTTGATTCGTTCGTTGCAAGTTGATGGCTCTTTTAATGACGATTAAAGTATTTACTTCCAGGGAATACACATTAATCACTGCTTGTATTAATGCGCTGCTGCAATTCGCTGCTTAATCGGATTCGGAAAAAAAACGACACTAACAGGAAAATGAGGAAAACTCAAGTGAGAACCAATCGCTGACCAATAAAATCATTTCATCAATAATGAAATATATTTCGTAAAGGTAAATATAAATACTTTTCCCGAGTGCATGCTGTTAGTCCTTTGCTCTTTTCAAGGAGCTGGTCGTTGCATAAGTGGGGGCCAATGCAATCAGTCTCTTAAGGAAAGTAAATGTAAAGGTAGAGGGGAGGCTAGAGGGGTGGCTAGGTGATGTACCGTGGCGTGCTGCCACTCCAAAAGACCAATCGATCGAAAGGAATGCCAATTATAGAATGCCCCAGTTGGGCAGTAATTTGCATTGCTGGTCAAAGCTGGGAAACACGGAACACTCCCAGTGCTCAATCAAACATCTGCAGCTTAAAGCAGCATTTTTGGTAAAATCGGATTGGTTGTGTGTGTGTGTGTATGGCAGGGTGTGGCACGGGTGTGGCACGGGGCAGTGATTGCTTTCCAGGAAAACAGAGAACTGAGAACAGAGAGAACTCTTTTTCAAAGACGAAATAGTTGCTGCACAAAATATTCCAAACTCTAACCAATTTCTGTGGCCAAATGAGCTCTTTTGGGGTCAGAAGTTCGTCCTTGTCCATCTGTCCCTCTGGCCATGTCACGTGCCCCCGGACCCGAAGAACTCTGAAACTATTTGCTCATATTGCTCATACGCACTGTTGCGCCTTGGACATTTTTACAGTTCGGCCTCTTTTTCTCTTTCGTTTTTTTTTTTTCAGATATACATCCCTCTAGCATTCTTTGGCTTCAATCAACTGGCATCCATCCCATGGCTCGATACATCAATAAAACTGACATTATTGACAAAAATCAATAGATTTTCCTTTCTGGCGGCAGTTTTGAGTACGCTAATTGCCGTTTCTCATTTCCCGTGCCTCATTTTCAGCCCCGATAACCTTCGGCAATTTGGAATTTTGCGCGTCGCAGAACCCGGAAACCCAGTTTTGGCATTCGCATAAAATATAAGCGGGAAATTCAGCATACATTTTCCCGCTCTTTGCCTCTTGACTTTAAATGCTGCACAACATTTGCGGATAATTTATATGGTCTTTGATGTCTCTAACGGCTTGCCATTTTCACAGCTATATATCATTTGATATATATATATATACATATATATACAAAGATATAGAGAAGAAAGCATATAAACACTGAGGAGCAGTCACTTTGACCTGGTCTAGGCTTCCATCGACCCGTGACTGCCATTGTTCTTGTTCTTTTCCCTACCAACCGACGGTAAGTCTTCTGAAGGTGAAAGTGCTGCGGGCGTTTTCTCACGCCAACTGGCTTTAATGGACGACAAAAAATGTGGGTGGCCCTAGTTGGGGTAGTAGTAGTGAGTAGTGAAGCCAGCCAGAGGATTGCCAAGTGTCGACAAGTAAGTAACGATGGCACTGGCACAGCCACACGAAGGTGATGCTGTGAATATAAGTGCCTCACCAGCAGCAGCAGCAGCAGCAGCAGCTACATCCAGTGGACACCAGGAGCCTACTTTCCACTTTCTATCGCCCCTGAGCCACTTAAGTGCTGGATGGGGCAGGGTTAGAGGGAGGCGACTTGGCTAGTGGTCTTGGCTTGTGGGGACGCCTCACAACTTTCATCGTAAACTTTGCTCTTTTTTTTTTTTTAGTTTTTTGCCCATGCAGATGGCACAAGTTTTTTTTGTTTTTTTTTTTAGTTTCTGAGAACCTGGACATTAAAAACTCTTCAGTTGGTAACGCCCCATGTTGCAACATGTTGCGGCAGCATGTTTCCTGAGCAGTTTGCTAAAGGTTTTTCATAGCTAATTGGGCCTGAATCGGAGTTCTAGAAGGAACAAAGCCAAAGCCTGGCCAGCATACCAGTCGACTACCCTTACCCTTAACCTCGTCAAGAACTGGGATTTCCTTTGTTCAGACTCAGGACCCAGGGCTAGCAAACAAACAAAAACAAACAAAAATAAACAAACAAATGTAAACAATGGAATGAAAAAGTAAAGTTGTTCAAATCAATGAAACTGCCATGAATAGCACCAAAAATAATTAAATCAAAAATGTGCTTTTCATTTACCCATTGCCCCTGCCACAGCTCTATGCCACCTCCTGCCTGCCTGCCTGCCACTTTCCACAAAAAAGCAACACGCTCTTTCCATTAAAATAGTTTCCCAAGGCTCTCTGTCAGCCGGAATCGTAATCATTCGGAATCCCCGGAATGAGGGCGGAAAGGAATCAAGAATGAAAATCCAGGAGAATGATGATCAAACGGGGGTTGGGCTAGACGTAGGCGTCATGACCTTAGTTCCCTAGTGATTGCTTCGATTGCTTGTTAATCATTCGCATGTTGGTCAACAATGTCTATGTTGGCCCCCCCTCATTGAAGGCCAAAAGCGACGCCTGCCAGCCGTAAAGCGATTTTATCGCCACGCTTAGCAGGAAACTTATGCAAAGTACACACGGTGAATAAATATTGTTAACTAAAACGAGTTTAGAAATAGTTACTAATTCCAAAAAATATAGTTTTATGTTTAGGTTTTAGTTTGTATAGTGAAAAAGTTGACCAAATTATGGGTAGAAGAAGCCTTTAAGTTTTCTTTAACTAAAAAAGCAAGAAAAGCTACAAAGAAGAACCATTTTCACAGCTTAAAAAAAGATTCCAAAACTTAATAGTTAAATATTGCTTAAGTTAACTAAAAAGTAGTATTATATTTTCCTCATTTCATTAAACTTAATCAACAATCACTAAACTAAACAATTTTTAACTGTGGAACTAACAAAATATTTTCTCTGTATAAAATCAACACTAAATGAGTTTATTAAAATTCATGAAATTTATATGTACATATTTTAAATGTGTTTAGTTTAAAACCAAACCAAAACAAAACTAAAGAAAATTTCACAATATATATTAGTTTAGATTATGCCACATTTTCTCTGGGTGGATGAGTGAATGCAGGGCAGGGGGTAAAAGGGAAGTTGCCTTCACAACCTATTTGGGCGACATTCAACGACAAATTTCTTTCATTTACGCGTAATAAAAATGAAATCTCCGTTGAACAATGGCCGCCGGGCGGCTTTTCCAGCTACAGCTACAGGAGGGTTGGAAAAAAAGTGTGTATATATATATATATATGTAGTATAGAGAAAATGAGAGGACCACCCACCACCACCACCCACCATAACTTGTTGTTCCACCCGTATACTTTGCGGCTTGCCTCAAGTGTGTTTTACGTTATTTTGTATTTAATTTACAGCTTGAAGCTCCTCCGGGAATTTTTGCTTAAGCTATGAGGAAGTGCTAGCTCCCTAGCTGCCTCCATTCCTCCCTCTAGGATAAAGACTTCTCTTAATGGCCTAAAAGTATAAGCCGTACATGTTGATTACACGGCAAAAAGCGCTTAAATATGCATGAGCCTGAGTCGAAAGCGCATTGAATTTAAAACGCATAGAATGTCTTCGAGAATTCTGTTGAAGAATCGTAAGGAGAATGAACCGTAAGGAGGAAGAACGTAGAGGACTCTGTTTATTCCCAGAAGTTGCCGTCGAGTGTCTGTAAGTGGTTGACAACGCACAGAGCAGCGGAATGAAGTTTGCCTTTGGCTTTTCATCAGATGGAGGGGGCGGAAGAGTGGTAAAGTGGATAAGTTAAACACATTTCCACTCCACAAAAAAAAAAGGATACGCATTTGACGGCGGAATACCGCGTCCACGAGCCACTCAAGGACATACTCAGTGCCTATTTGGCAGATTAATTAGGAAATTAAGTGCAAGGCAAACAGATCTCTGCCTCACTAGCTCTCGCTGTGACATTTTCCTAGAGCTCTAATCGATTGGAAAAGTATCTCTATTGTTATTTTTAGTAGAGAAAAATTCGTATTTAGATTTGAAAATAGAAAGTATTTGGCTTGGAAAATCTGGTAACTGGACATCCGGCAAGTTGTTATTTTCCACACTAATGGACATTTATGTCCTTATTCATTGAGGTCGCCCGTTGGCGCCCTGCCTTTAAAACCATTAATACTCATTGCCACGTTGGATAGATGTTATATATGGCAGAGGGTAGAGGGTATAGTATAGCCAGAGAGTAGCCGCCAGCTGCACATCCTGCGGCCCACCGCCTTTGTTTTCCTGTCAGTCAGCATGTCGTCGTAACTACTTGCCAGCCGCACACATCCGCATGTATGTACATCCTGCCTCCACTGTGGAACTTGCAATAAAATGCTGCATTAAATAATCCACAAAGAGAGATCCGATTTCCGTAACACCAAAAAAACCCCAAACCCAAACCTAAAACTAAACCCAATTCCCCTCCTACCCCCCCACTGGACATTGTTTTTGAGGAGGAGCCACAAAAGGCCACATTTAGCAGATTTTGCATGCAGAAACACGCGTTTGTTCGTTTTGGCATCGGTTGCATCCACATACAGGATGTGCTATGTGCATCCTTCATCCTTCTCTTTACATGGACAAAAGTGCTTACAAACAGTTCTAAATTTATCTCTATTTGATTGGGTTGTAAAGCAAGTTGGAGGCACGTTGGTTGGTTAGCCAGAGGCAGAGTAGCCAGAAGGTGCTGAATATCATAAATATTCATGGGCCAGTTGAGTTTTGCACAGCGAAAAATGTAGTTGATTGGTAAAATGATATTATAGAGAAATCAATTTGATTCAAAATGATTAAGAAGGATTTACATTTCATAATTTGTTTGACATTAAACCCGCCACCCCCCACAAAAAAAAAGGCTTATGTTTTTGTTTATCCTTTCTAATTGACCAGAATTTTGATACCTTTGAAATGTTTATTTTCCCACAATTTAATACCATTTTATCCCAAATTTATCATCATGAAAACTGAATAAATTTTCTTTTTGGTAAGCCATTCAAACTCCCAGTTGGCCATGCCTAAAGCATTTGGCAAGTTTTCGCTTGGCTTTCATAAACACAAACAAACACAAACTAAATTCCAAATTTCAAGACTCCTACCCCCCGTTTGTAGATTATATATTGACGCAGTTGCTCCCCACTGACCCCACCAAGAGAAAATGACATCTGGAATCGATATGAGTCGCGAGTGCAAGCATGTCTTTGAGCAGATACGCAAGTTGAAACAGCATCGTTATGCTATCTTCGTTATCCAGGATGAGAATGAGATCAAAGTGGAAAGGTTGGGAATGAGAGAATCGAACTATAGTGACTTTCTGGAGGATTTACGAAGGTCGGGACCAAATCAATGCCGTTTTGCAGTCTACGATTATGCCTATCAGCATCAGTGCCAGGGTACATCGTCCACATGCCTCAAGGAGAAGTTATTCCTAATGCTCTGGTGTCCCACGTTGGCCAGGATCAAGGATAAGATGCTGTACTCCAGCACGTTTGCGGTGCTTAAAAAGGAATTTGCAGGCATTCAGAAGTGCATTCAAGCCACAGATTTGGATGAGGCCTGTTGCAATTCTGTCGAGGAACAGCTACGTTCGTTGGACAGGGAATAGCCGGCATCCTTGTTGTTGTTTTTTCATTCTCCTTGAAATACAGTAAGGCTCTCATCCAATGGGCCATCCAGTTAGCCCCTTCCTCTGCATCCAATTTAAATTGCCTCTGGTGGTGTCGGGTGTTTTTTGTTTGTGCTGTTATTGTGGCGCCTCTAAAGTCTACACTGGCCAAGTGGCCATCCGGTGGTGTTGGCCAACGTCTCGGTATCGGTCTCGGTTCTCGATTCTTGGTTCTCATCTTTCTTGTTGCCACGGGCTCCGATTTAATTTGATTTGGCCGGGAATCTAATGAGACCATTTGGCATATGGATGCCTCTTGACGCTTGCCACGGGTATCAGCTGTAATTTGTTTTTGTCCCCGAGTTTCCTCCTCCTTCGGTCATTATCTTGACTCGCGTGGCCTGGCTAAAAATACTTTCGCCTCAGTTTGCTTCTAAGGGCAAAGTTTTTGCCGGCATTCAGACGTTTTTTATCTCATTCATAAATCACGACCAAGTTGCCCATCTCATTTCGTCATCTTCCCCCACAGCTCCCGCGGCTTTTCATATCATTTGGCAAAAAAAAAGTCTGGAAATTAATCAAATTGACAAGGGGAGCACGTCACCAGCCTCAATTGCTACACTTCAAACAAGATTTCCAATTGAATTTGAAAATTCGAATGTGATTGTGAATGTGAATGCTCATCGCGTATTGATTTGCTAAATCCAATTCAACTAGCTAAAGTACAACCCATTCAGTAATTTCTCATTCTATCTTTATCCTTTAACCAGCTTCATCAAGCGCAGCAGGACATAGTCCTTGCGTTTCCAGTGGTGACATAAAACATGACAGGAAAAGGGGAAAAACTAGCTAATTGGTTTAGCAATGTTCTATAATCCGGCTACTTTTTACTAAGCTTTCCCTACATTCTGCTTAAGTCTAATCTAGTTTTTTAGCTTTGCCCAAGTAATTAAAAAACAACTAACCCTTTGATTTTGTTTTTATAAATAGCAACAGAATAAAATAATAAGACCCACTTACCTTAATTTTAGAACATATTATTCAAATTGCACTCTTCTGTGTCAAGTTTCTAAAATTTATCTTATTTTACATTTATATTTACAAATTTATACATGTATGTAGAGATTTTCATATGTATGTATGATACATAGAACATATGTAGATATCTACATTCATATCTTTTCACATGTCCCGCTGCGGAGCACCCATTGTATTTTGGCAAAGCAATGATTAATTTGGCCTTTTGAGCCATTATAAGTTAACAAAACTCTTAACTCATATTTAAGATCACTTTTTATATATTAATTAAGCACTTGTAACACTTTTTAAAAGCGAAAACAGAATATTAACGCAGTCGTAATGACTGCAACGCGTTAAGAATGAAAAGTAACTGACTGACAAAGTGGAGAGCGCAGAAACAGAAAAGAGGATTACAGTTATTATTGCAGAGATCTCTCTCTGGTCTCTCCTCTTTCGGTCTTCTTCTTTTCTGTGACAATGGCAAGCAAAACATTGCACTGAAAAAAAAGGGGAGAACTAATTTTAAAATGTATACGTGTTATTATGCTAGGCTTGATTTTTAACTATTGCTAATTTTTATTTCTTGGCTCCTTTTATTTTTAACATATATATAACATTTTATAATATTTTTTAATGTTTTTAATGAAAAATTATATTTTTTGTCAATGATTGTTTGGTAGACATTTGTTCAATAGTATTCATTCATTATTATTCATTATTATTATTATTATTTTCTATTAATTTAAAATTTTATTTAATTTCGCTTTCAAATTTGTATTTTCAGTGTAAATCACTGCTTGCAAACTAAATGAGAGAGGAGAGGCAAAGCCTAGATCTTTGCAAGCTCCCTCTCTCTTCTACCCGACAGCGCTAACTGTAGTTTTCGCACTCGTTTGTCATTCTTGATGAATTGCAACCGCGAACGGTTGCCTGCGTATAGTAAATTTGTTTTTGGTTATAAAAAGTGTTACAAAGTGTATTAAAGTATTAAATTAATAAATAAAAAGTGATCGCAGTACTGTGCTTTGTAATTTGTTCAACATAAATTGTGTTAATAGTGAATTTAGTGCAAAAATGGAAGGGGTGCTCCGCGGGGCAAGTGAAAATATGTATGTGTGTGTCCGAGACACCTTGCAAATATGTATGTATGTACATATATACATGTATATGTAAATTTGTCAGCTTGTGAATTTGGCTGCCCCTATCCACATCATACTTACATATGGGAAGGAATACATACATATGGGAAGGAAATGGGAGAAAAATCAAGGTAAGCTTGCGAAATTTAAAATAATAATTAGAACCTTAAATTATTTTCAAAATGTAGGCGTTAGTGCTTAAATATATTTTTGTTTTGTTTGGCTTGCCAAATGGCCAACAGGCGAAGGCACAGAAAAGAGGATTACAGTTAGAAATACTATTGTAAAGATCTTTGCTTTCCTTTTACAATTTTATTTCTTCTTCTCTTTGACAAAGCAAATCATAGCTGGACATAATATTACACAGCGAAAAAAGTTGATAGATATTAAACTATTAATTATGATTGTTTTATCAGTTCTTTGAAATCTTATGTAAATTTCCTTTGTTATTTTATGTAAATTTAAAATACGATTATAAGTTCGGCTTTAATTTAAGTTATATCATATGAGAAACAAGAACTTTAAATGCTATAAGCATTGTCTTGCTGCAGTTTGAATGAAACCCCTTGAATTTTGTTCAATATATTATATTGGTATTTTTAGCTTAACTTTAGTCCAAAATACTAAAGTTGCTCCGAGCGAGAAGCGTTTACATACATATGTAAGTATATATTTATGTAAATTTCTAAATATAAATACATATATTCATTGAAGAAATTTTCGCAGGAAAATGAAAAACAACAAGGAAATGAGACGTTTTGTGTGGAAAAAGGAAGGTGAAACCATGTTTTAAAATGCAACAAATTCCAATCACAACCTGGAAGAATATAGAAAGTTAAGGTAAGTGTTTATATATGTTTTTTTATTGCAAATTCGAGAAAAATCTTGGAGTTATTTACCCTTATTACCTAAAGACATACATTTTCCTTATTAATTAACAAAATGTAAAATTCTGTTCGAAAATAGATAAAAGAATTTATTTTCATAATTATATCGAAAGTAAAAATATGTAAACTAAAGACCATTGCGTCCCTTTCGATCTTTATTTGTCCAGCGAAGGCAAATTCTGTGGGCACACCTTGCTTGGGTATCAGAAGTCTAGCTGATGAAGAAGTGATGATTCAAATAGTCCCTACCCATCAGCTTTTCCTCTAATTTCTTTGAGTAAACTAGCGTTGATAATGACCTGACCTTGAAATGGATATCCTGCGACAAAGTTCCATAAAAACCAAAGTGCTTCACAGTGAATGCCTTCCTTGCCACCTGAAAGGAGAATCGACATGCAGAGATAATACATTTTGGTTGATTAGAAGAAAGAGAACTTAAGCAACCAAAATATATTTTCCTTTATGCAGAGCTTCTTTCCCAAGGCGAGGGAAGAAATAACGTGGAGCTCTTTAGTTTTTTTATGGAACATTGCCTTTAGAAAATGAATTTCGAGGATGGCCGATTATCACACTGGCTTAATACAAAAAAATGGAATTTTTGCTAACTTTGGGGGTTTTCTTCAAAATCAGCGACTGTCTTGACTATTGGGATGTTCATGTTGTCCATTAGAACGATTGATAGTCTTATTGGAATATCTTAAGCGTAGATTCCAGAAAAAAACCTGAGCTATATAATCGGAAGTATTAGTCATTGCTAATTGGGAAACTGTGATTTTCTTTACCTATTCATAACATTTTATTACTTTGACGAGCCTTGTCAGACGAAAAAGTAATGGCTAACTTTTTTCTTTCAAAGCCAATTTAGATTTCGAAATAGTTCGACGCCCGAGTTCTATAAACGGAAAAAATAGAAAACTTTATGCTTTACCTTTTCGTAAGTTTTAACTATGTTTAACTTTTTTCACAAATTTATTGATTTCTTGGGATAGAAACTTGTCCTTACACCTCGGAAGTCGAAAGTGAACTAACTTTTTACTGAGACAAAACTAACACCAAGTGCCATAAAAAGCCATGACCAACTTGATTCAAAACCAATTCAAAAATTGGCCTACTACTTTTTCTACTTTAACATTTGAGGCACTATATCTCTTTCGAATTGCTGAACGCTGCCAACAGATGGAGCTGACTAAATCGTTGAAGACTTCTGCAATTTGTGGGCTTTAAAAAGGGGAAGCCTTACTTTGATATGAACTTTTACATCGCAGTCCTCACTAGAATAGTTAACCTTAACTTTCTAGCTCCTATAGCTATCTAAATGTCCGTACTTAGGCGGTCAGTTGGGCGGACAGAGGGGAAGGAGTAAATAAACTTGTCTATTGATCCAGTTACATACTTCTAAATGGCCATAATTAGGTTTCTGAATTAGTTCTCTTCCTAAATAATGACTCTCATTAGTTAATTTGAAGTTTCTAAACCTACTTAAGCTATTTAATAGCGATAAAAAGTTGAAATGAGCATCTCTGACCTGGTCATTTTATCGGCGTGCCCAAACTGTCGTTGATGGCGCTTCAAATATCCGTCATATGCCTGGGAAATATAAAAAGGAAAAGCTGATATCACTTGGCAGACGAGACGAGGCAAAGACGAGAGACACTGACAAGGACAAGGACATCTGAAAGCGAAACACAGCCAAAAGTGAAATGGAAACAAGGAAAAGCGAGAACAGTTTTCCAAATGAAGCGAGCTAAAACTCAAACAGAAAGATAACAGAAAAAAGGGCTGAGGAAAAAACCTCAAAGAGATGCAGTCATAAATTTGCCGATTTCGTCGTTCTTTCTTTTTTCTTCTTTTTTTTTTTTTGCCACAACAAATGTGGCAAAATCAAAGCAAAACGAGGCGAAAAGGGAAAGACGAATAGCACAGGGCTTGAAAAACTCTGGGAATCTGGGAAACAGCGAAGAAAATCCACGCAAATCTAGTGGAAAATTAAAATTTTGCCAATTTATGCGAACGTCAGAGAGGAGAAGC